AAACCCGGGAGGTGGAGCTTGCAGTGAGCTGAGATCCGACCGCTGCACTCCAGCCTGGGCGACAAAGCGAGACTCTGTCTCAAAAAAAAAAAAAAGAAAAAAACCAAAAAAAACAAGTTAGTTGTCACAGCCTGACCTGTAAGTGTCTGCTTAGCGCCAAATGGGCCTGGCGTCCTCACCTGGTCACACACTTTATTCTGAACAGGCGAGCCCCATCGTGTATCACTCGGGTTTGATACTGGTTCTTTCTACAGAGAGGACACGTTTTCTTGTTTGTGAACTTTTCAAAAGCCTGAAGACATGCCTGAAGAAAAACATTTCACTTAAAATTTTATAATTACTTATAAACAACGTCTTTACTTCCAATGTTAGTGTTCTAATTACAGTGTTCTTTTCTCCCATAACTATGAAACTTAGCCCAGTTTAGGTTATCAAGTGAGGAAGTTTCATCAGGTGCTACCACCTTCCTCAGGAAACCTGTTCCAAAAGTGATTTCTTACAAGAATATACATGCAAAGACATCAAAAACTTCTGAAATCCACTAGCACAAAGGTGAGTCATGCGTGTCTATGGGACCACATGCAGATCGATCATTTGATTTTAGCTGTCACTGACACACATTACTGACAACAATCTGTTACATAAACATTTGTGGTTCTTTTGTCACAAAACTCATGATTTTCAAAATAGGATGAATTGTACTGTAGCCTACAGTCACGTTTCTTTAACTATAGATGGTGGTGATGAATAAAATAAATGGCTCTTCTCAGGAGCCTTGAAAATGACTATAGTTTCTCTGCGCTGTAAGAGCGATGTGTGGGGCACCTGAGCAGGCGTGAGGGGCGGACTTACTCTGTGGAACACATGGGAGCATGAAAGCAGCACCTGTTCATGAGGAAACAGAACGACATTGAAGTTGACAAAAGAGAAGCAGCATGAATGCAACAGTTAAACTCCTGAATGCTTAGAAGGTAAGCTGTATTATTTCTTTAAAAATTAAAAAGGCAAATTTATAACTTTGATGTTTATACTATTTATTGTTTGTTTAGCACAGCACAAGTATATACTCTAAACAAGAAAAATTAATGATCTGAAATATCAAATAAACACATGAAGTTTGATATGTAACTATTAAAATGAGTGTATACGTAAGAGCGAAACAATGACAAAATGAGTGTTTCCCTTAGATGCGGGCAAAGACTGCACACTGGAGGGGTGAGGAGGGGGCCTGTCCAGTGGGGCCAGGGAAACGCTAAGGAAATACCATTTCGGTCTTTGTTCAGCTCAGTTGTGCCCCCAGGTTTTGTGAAATCATAGCCCTACTGAGATACAATTCTGACAGTCTTAAGTTTAAATAGCAACACATCACGGAGACACAGGAGTCCTTTTTTTTTAATGCAGGGAGTGTGATCACAAGAAAACTTCACCTTTCTGTGACCCAAATTCCCCACTAAACAGTGATATTCTGGGCTGTGACAAAAGACTGACGCTTAGACCAAATGAAGGCGGCAGTGGGTACTCAGTAGAAGGGACAGAGCCACCAGCCCACCAGCGCCAGGCCCTGCGGGCTGCCACACGAAGGCCAGGCTTCCCTTGGGGCGGGGCCGCTTCCAGCAATGGGGAGGAAAGTGGGGGAACTTGTGAGACGGAGCAAAGCGGTGGGGGCAGGCGGAGGGCTGGCCCTTTCTGTCAAGAGTCTGACTCGGGTGACTGCAGTCTGGGGCCCTCCCGGGGGAGGTTTCAGTCTCAGGCGGCCCAGGATGCCTGCTGTGGGGAAAACTTAACAGTTTTTAAAGTGAATCCCACCTGCCTTCACTCAATGCGTGCTTTTCTTCTTAAATGGAAGAAATACAGAAATAAGTAGAACTCAGAAAGCTGTAAAACCTTTTCTTGAAACTTATTGCCAAGAGTAAGTCTGAATTGAATAAACTCAGTAATATGGGTCCTTTTTTATTACTACCATTGAATAGCAATCTTTTCTATACTTCATTCATCCTTTATAGAATACTTTTCAGTGTTTCCTCAACATACATTCTATCTATATTGAGCAACATTAGACTCCAGTATATTAAAGTGTTATCTTTTTAAAGATCCACAAATATTTCTTATTGGCAAACACTCTCTGGTGTAACAAAAATCAAGGAGTAAGTGGTGGAAAACATACTAAAAATGGCCTAGAAGGTAGGACTGGATTCCAGCAGGACTCCATACTTTCTAAGCTGGCCTACTAGGAACCATTTGAATTATTTTTTATTTCCTCATCTGCTAAATGGGCACAATGCCTACTATATGAAATTAATTGAAGGCCCTCTGAAATCATTAAATGTTGTAAAAATGCCAACTATTGTTTATAACTAAGGAAAAATCTGAACACGGAAACGATCATTAGAAGTGCCAAATATACAGGATAGGGTCTATATCAAAACCAAATAAAAATAATAGAATTTAGGGAGAAATTTATAAAAAACAGAAAGAAATGTTGGGCAGGGTACACCCTGATGCCCATAAGATACTAACTTTCACTTTTCATTCTTCATACAGACACTCCAGGCTCGATATTTTAGTATAAGAAAGAGGTTGCTTAGCCAGAAAGACACCCTCTGATTTTATTCACAGTTTTGCTACCTAAAGTACTAAATTATCCTAGACAATTTGTGGTTTTAGGGCTAAAATCTGTCCAAAATACCCAACTTTCACATACGTAAGATTAGGTCCTGATAGAGAAATGGAATAAGTATGTCTAAAGTAAATTATGAATTCAAATTAGTGAAGAGAAGTGTAACTGTTGTGAGCTTTCTGCAGATGAAACTTACTCAAATTCAGCGAAGACTCAGAGTTCATTTGCCCAGACTGTAATAAGCCTGGGTTCCCAGGCTACGAACTCCAAGGCTGATTTTAACTGTATTTGCTGTATTTTCTCAGCAAATCTCTGAGGGCCTGCTATGCAGGAAGCGTCATGCCACACTCCGTGGGAAATCATTACAGGGCAATCGTGCGCGCGCGCGCGCGCACACACACACACACACACACACACACACTTCTGATAAATCTAAGTGTCCCCAACTTCAAGAGACTGTTTTTTTAGTTAGGCAGACAAAATATGTATAGAAAAAACCCTACATGCATTCTCTCTCTCTCTGTGTGTGTGTGTGTGTGTGTGTGTGTGTATTATCTGTTAACCCAGAGTAGTATCATCAATCTTACTATGGTAAAGTTTCATGAATAGAAATCATTAAAAGATTTTACTTTTCTTAAAGATTTTCTCATAAATTCTTTGGAGACATTCAAGCACAGTTTTTTTTTTTTCTCTTTTCTTTTCTGACTCAAATCACAAAACAACTTAAAGAGTTCCTCTGCTTTCATCCTTCCCGCACTGGGACACAGCTGCTCCTGGGAAGCCCCCCAGTTGTCTGCACGGCCACATGGGGCCTGTTGAACAGAAACATTCCTTTTGTACAAACGTTAGTACTTGAGAATACCAGTCAGTAAACAAACAAAACTATTTAATGAGGGTGTTTAGCTCTTCACACACTTTAATTAATGGAAGTGTGTGAGGCTCACACAAGAGGACGAAACTGGGAAAAGGAAGCCTGGAATCTTAGGCTGCAGCTCTGGGCCTCATCCCTAGGCAACAGCCCAGGATTTCTCTAGCTCACCCTCATACGCTAAACACCTGAGGTCGAAGCTCGAATTCTTCTTTACAGATGGGGCACGGCTGCACCGAGTCCCCTTGCAGGAGGGAGCGCTGTTTCACCTTCTCCCATTCATCAGATGACAGCTGAGGTGGTGGAGGCCCAATGAGGCCCAACTTCTGTGCTAAAGGAAGACAGCAGACAGCACAGACAGCAGTTAGAATGTCTTTTAGCATACGGCACCCACCTATAATTTTAATGACACCATTTGCAAACAATTATTAAAGAACTACATATAGATCACATACTTTATTTCATAATAGAAGCTGTCCCTTGGTATCCACAAGGAAAGTGTTCCAGGACGTCTCAAGGATGCTCAAGTCCCTGACAGAAGATGGTGGAATATCTGCATACAACCCATGCATATCCTCCTGTATACTGCCAATCATCTCGATTACCAATAATTCCTAATGCAAGTGCTATGTAAATAGCTGTTATACTATATTGTTTTTAATTTGTATTATTTTGATTGTCCTATTGTTATTTTTTACTCCTTTGTTAAAATTTTGATTTGTGGCTGGTTGAATCTGTGAATGCCAAACCCACAGATACAA